CGCGCACCTTCTCCATCAACGTGCGATTTAGACGCTCTGCCGACCCATTTTGCTGTGGCGTGTATGGAGCGGTGGTCTGATTGATAATGCCCCTATCCTTGTACCACGCCGCTAACTCCGCGTTAAGATACTCCCGACCCCTATCCGTACGAACTACCTTAGTCTTCTCTCCGCACTGATTTTCTAACATAGTCAGCATCTCCTTCACACAACTCGCCACCTGATCCTTTCGCGACAGAAGGCAAACAACTGACATACGTGAAAAATCGTCCAAAAACGTAGCAATGTACGAATGGCCATCACTGGAGGTGACAGGAAGCGGACCACACACATCCATATGTACCAAAGCCAACTTATTATCTGCACGATTTCCACTAGAACTGAACGGCGAACGTGACAATTTGGCCTCGACGCATGTGCTGCATACCGACTCACCCTCTACACGAAAGTCCTTCGCCGGTACATCGATCCCGGTGACCATACCACCGTCAACCAGACGAGCCAGGTTCCGAAAGCTCAGATGACCGAGCCGGCAGTGCCAAAGGTAGGCATCAGACACAGACCTGGATGAAAACGCATTGACTGGCGCGGGGTTTTCAGGCAAAATCATAGTACCCTTCAGGCGGTAAGCTCCCCGAGAATAAGGGAAGCTATGAGACCAGGTACCGTCGCTACTCCTGACAACAGCCTTAGGTGCCCGCAGAGGTGGACGAACCCTAACGGGTAGTGCACGGGCTGGCAGGAAACCTTCTCGCGAATTCCAACTCTCCCGACTATATGGGAGTCCTCGTTCGGAGCTTCCGTAGATCCCCAAAAATTCCACACTCGCTCCTTTCTCAACGAGGACACGGACAGACAACAAGCGGTGCTTGAATCCCGGGACATGGAATACTCCGGTAAATTCCAAAACCTCGTCCTGATCACTAAGTACGCGCAGATCCCCAAAACCAACTACACGAAGTCGCCTACCGTCCGCGATCTCAACGAACATGTCACCGTCGATCTTCTGGTAGTTCCAGAGGCACGTAGAATCGGGAGACATGTGGTACTGGGAACCGGAATCCAGCACCCAGCTGTCGTCGGCATCGCCATCCGCGGGAGCGACGGCTTCATGAATTCCGACGCCAGACTTCTTGACGACAGGCGGTGTATCGACGCGTGCAGAGATAATGACAGGCGCCTCGAGCGCCGAGAAAGACGTAATCCTTTTGCCGTACACTTCGGAGATTTTCTTCTCCGTGCGCTTCTTCTTGAAACATTGTTGCTCAGTATGGTTGTCCTTGCCACAATAACCACACTTGGCGCCTGGCGTATTTCTGGAGGTGGTTGGCGCGGTCGATGTACTTGCCCCGGAGTTACCAGGCGACTTACAGAATCGCGCCTTATGTCCAGGTTTACCGCAGTTGTAACACTTAATGGCATTGCGAGATGATAGGGCGACGGCGACGGGATCCGTGGTCACGCTGTTCCTGGTTGCCTGCTCCACCGGCAACAGAATTTA